ACCCACGATGTTGATCATCGGCGAAGATCGGCCGAACATCGCGCCGACATTCGCCAGTATTTTCATTTGCATAATGGAAATTGCGCGGGCCACAGCTACCACAGACCCAACGTTTCCGCGGGACGCGATAATTTACGGATATTCAAAGGCGTTCCGCGCGATGAGTTTATCTTCGTCGCGTCGTTTGCACTAACTTCGAGTTAACGAGTATGGGCTTGGATTCATCGTGAAGTATAGTGGATACGGGTTGATGCTCCTTCGCGTTGAATATCAAGGGCGAATGTTGGAATTTCTGTGGAAATATTTCGTTCGTGGAATCGGTCTGCTGATTTTCAGAATTCGATTCAGCGTGTTTCGATTCAACGAAGGTTGTTGTAGGTGGATACTATACTCGTGGTTCGACGATATTTCGGTGAGACAGTTATTGCTCGAGAGAGATTTGCGAGTCGCGATTTTATATTAAATATTTCGTTAAATATTTGCAATCATGTTGGAAATCTGTGAAGATATTTTGTTCGTGGTAATTGGTAATTTATTGATTTTAGAAATTCGATTTGGAATGTTTCGATTAAATGGAAATTGTGGATGGGTTTTTGCAACGTGATGTTTTCTTGTTTTCATAATATTTTTTGGAAAAATGATTATAATTTAAGATAGAACGTTGCGATTTATTATATGAAATTTGTTTAAAAGATCTAATGATCTTATTTATGATTGCACTTATTCTTATTTCAAAATGATTCTTTAAAACTACATATGTGAAATAAATGTTTGTATATTGCATATTGCAATATGTAGAATAAATTTTTTTCATTTAAAAATTTTTAAATTTTAAAGTTTAAAGTTTTCGTCTTATTTTTTCACGTAGAATTATCTTTTATCCGTTTATATTATCAAAATATCTTTAATACAAATTTTTTTTACATATGCATTTATTAGTAGAAAAATGGCCTAACTTAGAAACTAGAATATTTCTGAGCTATTCAAGATTCATTAGTAGAAATATTTTGAATTTCTTGAAAAAATATTTTAAGATAATATAAAATATTTTAAGATTACCAACAGAAAATTTTTTCAAATAATAATTTATATATAATAAATTATATATAATAAATTTTTTAAAATCTTTTTATTCTCCATATTTTGATATGTATTACTTTGATCAGTGGAACATTGTATGTATGGATTTTTGTGATGAAGAGATTATGAATTAAAATTGATTCGAAATCCACTTCGAATCGACTTTCTTGAATATTGTTGGAAACCATCATTTGGCAGATGCAGACGGATTAACTGTCAGTTTACAGCCTATTGCGTTCAAGTTGGTGTGTTTTTTAAAAAAATTAATCGGCATGAATCAACGTTACATGTTAGGTGCAATAACTTAGCTTTATCATCGGAGGTAGAAGCACGTGGATAATACCGGAGGGGGGAGAAAAGTTAATGCGAATTTATCGCGACTGATCTGACTATTAACTCGGAACATTATGGGACGTAAGTGGCTGGCCGTATGGGAACTGTGTAACCCGTTGTTGGTAAATGTTGTGAGCAAGAAAAGGGAAACAAG